CCCGCGCGCCGTCACGGGGGCGCGCGCAGCCAACCGGGGCCGGCCCGGCTCGTCCCGTCCCCCCCCCGCCGCCGCCGGGCGCTGCCGGGAGAGCAGGAGCCCTGACAACAAACAGCAGGAAACAGCTGACGGGGAGGCACCGCCGCCGCCTCCGCCGCACCGAGGGGCCGTGCCCGGGGCCCACCGCCGCCCCCCATCCTCGAGCCGCCCCCGCTCCCGCACCGGGCCCGGCCCCGCGCCCACCCGCCCGGGGCTCCGCACAAGAACCGGCCCGAAAAGTTGCCCAGTGCCGGGCCGGGGGAGGAAGTTGTGTCGGCGGCGACGGGGAGGGGGTGCTCAGTGCCGGCCCCCGCCGGGCAGGCTGGGCGGCGCTGGGAGACGCTGACGGAGAAGGGGACGCGGTGGGGAAGGCCGGTGCTTTGTGGCGTCGCCGGGTAACGCACCGGGTCACGCACCGGGTCAGGCAGGGCCGACCACTGCCCCTTTCCGCGCCCGTCGCCGGACCGGAGCTCGCCCGGGGCTCTGCCGCGGCCCGACAGACACAGCGCCGCGGCGCGGCGGTCGCCACCTCCCCCCCCCAGCCGCCCTGGCCTCCCCTGGTAGCGCGGGGCGAGCGCGGCCCCCGCCCGGTTACCTGGCTGCGGGGAACAGCTGCGGCGGCGGCGGCTCCGTGCCCGGTGTCTCCCCCGCCCTCCACGGCCCCGGCGCTCCGGCTCGGCCGCGCGGCTCCGCCCCGCCGTGGCCCCGCCCTCTGTCAATCAGCGCGGCGAGGCCCCGCCCCCGGTCCAGCCCATTCACTGCCGCGGAGGCCCCGCCCCTGCCGCCTCGCGCTCCGCCCCGCCCCGGGTCGCCTCACGGCCGCGCTCGGCGGGGCGCGCCGGGTCACGGAGTCACGGAATTACAGAATGGCAGAATTACAGTTATAGAATTACGGAATCACAGAATCATCGAATCATCAAGGCTGGAAGAGAACTGTAATGTCATTTACTCTGATCGTCCACCTAGCACTACCACGGTAACCCCTAAATCACTACACCACACCACCCAACACCATGTCCAGAAACCTCTTGAACACCTTCAGGCATGGTGACCTCCCTGGACAACCTATTGCAATTCCTCACCACCCTAACAATGACAATCCGCTTAAGTGACAATCAGTTTAAGGCCATTTTCTCTGGCGCTGTCGCTGCAGACAGGTCGGAGCGGAGCAGCCCCCACCTCCCTGCAGCACCCTCTCAGGTAACTGCAGAGCAGCGGGCTCTCCTCCACGCTGAACAGCCGCAGCTCCCTCGGCCATTGCTCACAAGATGTGTTTTCTAGACCCTTCGTGAGCCTTGTTGCCCTTTGCTGGCCACACTCCAGCACCTCAATGTCCCTTTAATGTGAGAGGCTCAGAGCTGAGCACAGTACTCCCGCCAGTGCTGAGGACAGGGGCCAGGGCAGTGCTCAGCGCTGCAGCCCAGCTTTTGGGGGGCTGGAGCAGGGCCAGAGCTGGAGATGGAGCCAGGCCTGGAGCCGGTGTCAGAGCCAAAGCTGGAGCCTTGAGGCAGCGCTAAGCCCTTCCCCACCTGCCAAGTTCCATTTCCCAGGCACCTGTCAGCTGCTGCCCTGAGCCTGGTGCCTTCCACTCCCCCTCTACCAGCCTCCTAGACCCCCTTGCTTCCCTCACAGCCTGGCAGAAATTCCCACTCCTAGGGGAGCTGAATGCCAGAGCCACCCAACACCTCCCTGCACCCCTAGAGCATATTGCCATGGTCCTGGCTGGGAGGAAGGGGAGTCCTGTCCCCAGGCACCTGCATTCTCAGGGATTTGGACTTCCCTGCCTGTGAGCCTCACCACACTATGGGGCCCTTTGAGGGTTGGAGGTGTAGAAAGACACAGAGATGGATTTTGGTGACATCCCCCCTCAGTGACTCATGCTGCTTGCAGACTTTCAGACCATTCACATTGAAATCTTTGTGGGATACCTTAAACACTGCCCACTGTGGAGATGAAACATCAGAGAAGAATGAGGTGAAGTGTGGCCCTTCTTAACATTTGTTTGCAAGAGCTATCAGTTCCCTGCCAGTTTTAAGTGCTCACAGACTGCCTCCTTGGCAAATAGTGGTCTTGGACAAAACACAATGAAAAAAGTCCTTTTGAGTTGTTGGTTATGAAAAAGAGATGCAAAAAGGTGTTGTTTTCCTTCTATGGGTAAGCCATGCCATTTTAAGGATGTCTGTTCTGGAGAAAGTATTTTCATTCCCGGGTCTATCCATGTGGTATCACCAGAGGAGCTGCAGTAATGGCAGGAAGGAATGAGTCAGCAGGATTCTTTTGTCATTTCACACCGAGGCAGAGGGGCATCTATCTGTGAATATGCAGCACAGAAAACCTGCTTACACACCCAGCTGTTCTTCAGCCTGTGTCTTCTGCATGGATTCTTTTATAAAAAGAAATTATGAGGTAGAAGAGAATACAACAGCCTGTGTGAGGGTAGACAGTCAGTGACAGGTCAACATCAATGTGCTAAGAGCTGCTGTTTGCTTTGGACAGACCTGCAGAAAATCAGATCTCTTCAGTATGGTCAGCTCTGGCCTGATCCTGAGCAGAGCTGAGCATTGACATTTCTCACTGGCCTCTCATCAGCCTCTCTTTAGATCATGGAAAGGGAGTGAAAGATGTTAGAGCAGTCCATCAGACAGCAATCACCGCTTGGTTAATGGCACAGGGACAGCAGAAGTACTGAGAATATTAGAAGGAAGCCATAAAGCCGTGCCTGGGGTCCCATTTACCACCAACAAATGGAGGAAATAACCGATCCAACATGCCCCCTCTGTTAACAGGCTGACCTGATCTGCTGCTGATCCTCACTGGGTAACCGCGAGCTGTGTCCCTTGTGGGTCTGCTGCATCTTGTCAGAGGAGCCATGCAAAGGTCCATGTCTTACTCATCTCTGCACAGCTCCCGTGGAGATCACTGCAAACAAAGCCAAAACACAGCAGAGAGTCAAAGCTTTAGCCAGCACTGGTGACTGGGTCTTATCTGGGGCCTGTGAGTTCACTGCTCAGCTCTGCTGCTGAGGCACCCACACATCCCAGGGCAAGCTGGTTCTTCCTGCCTCATTTTCCCTCTGTACAAGGGGCAGAGTGATGCTCCCTGCCTTACTGGGAGGTTGCAGGTTTGCTTAAGTACCCTTCTCCAGTCTGGGCATATGGAGGGGTTGTATGTCTGAATATTGCAATCATCACAATAATATTACCAGGAAAACGAAGCAGGGCCCAAACCTATGAATAGAATTAAACTCTCAGCAATAAGAAGGGTAGCTGTACCAATCAGAGAGAAACCAAACTGACCATGAGACAAGCAGAGAATGGATTAGCCTGTGCTTGACAGATGGTGCCAGGGACTGATGTTTTTATTTCCCTCGCAGAGGAGCTTAGAGGAAAGGGGGGTAGGGGAGGGTGAGGTAGGGCACGTTTAATAGAACAAAGCAGCAGGCTGTAGCAGCTCTGCTGAAAAATGCTAAAAATACCAAAAGCAATTTCCAATTAGCTTGTAAGGGACATGCTACGTGTCAGCTACAGGGTGAAAAACAGGAACGGCAGTATTGTACCACATGGCACTTTTAATTTTCAAAGCAGCCTGAAAACATTAATTAATTCTCCTCTGACATAGGGAAATGCAGTGCAGTCAGCAGTTTGCTCCTTTACTTCTTATGCCAGGTTTTGGGAAGACCCTGGGCCTTTTCCACAGCTGATTGATATCAAAAAAGCTCAGATTACTCTGGAGGAGCCAGACTTCTCTGCAGCACTACTGAGCAAAAAAGGCTATGTTAGGTCTGGAACTTCATGAACCAGAGAAAAGGAAGATGCCCAACAGCCTTAGTAAGACCCACCTTTAATATTTGCCCCATCTAAAGCCATTTCTCAGTGCTATGAGCAACTCTCTAGGAAGCATTTCAGAGATAATTGGCTAGCTGAGGAATTAATCACAATCTCAGACAGAACTGTGTAGTGAAACTCAACCACCAACATATCAATCTAATTAAAACCTGTGACAAAACTTCAGTGGAATTCAGCAGGACCTGGGTACATCCCACTGAATGAGTGTCAGGGCTTGGAGACTGTTGTGCATATCTTCTCCCTTTAAAAAGAAAAACTTACAGCTCAGTAGTTTTTGTTCCTGCTTCTTCTCCAGAACCACTAATAATCTTTTGGTATGCTTGTGGATTTCTGTATGGCAAAGTTAAGCCTACCAAACCAGGCATGCCTGAGGTGGGACAATGATGCAGTGGGATTTTCCATTGCTGTTCCTTCCGTGCCCAGGATTTCTGTCAGCAGAGAGGAGGCAGCTGAAATACAGAGCCAGGCTTACAGGCTGTGATCTCTCTGGGAGACAGCGTGACTCCTCACTGCCCCCTCTGTGCCTTCTCAGCTTTGCCTCGCATCAAAGGCTGGGTTCATCCCACGAGCTGCTCTTGTTATTTGGCTGTGGCTACTGATAGCCTGTGTTTTTCAGAGGAGATGGTACAGCCTGCAGCTTCATTCTCATAAGGTAAGCCTACTGACACACACAAAAAAGTAATTGTCTTCCACTTGATATCACAAGCAGACACTTAGTGTTTTTGCTCACCTGAAAGCTTGACACAGGCACAAGTCCTACTTAAAGATACTTTTTCAGAGGGTTGTATTTTTTTGCCAGGGGAAATTATTTCTACAGTTAATCTCAGTGTCAAAAGATGAAGGTCAGTGATGAAGCAGTCCCTCCACACGTTCTCCACAATGACAGAGCTGGTCTCATTACCTGTCACCATACCTAGTAGCTGTTGGCCAGATTTTAAAAGGTGTTTAAATGTAAAACCCCAAAAGACCCAGGAGCCATATCAGAGAAAGTATTTAATGCCTGAAGAGGGACTTTGAATGTCCATGCCATTATTAAGACATCAGGAATGGAGCCAGTAATCAGGCCTGGTGCCAGGGAATGCAGAACGGTGTCCTGCAGAAACCAGGAGCCATCGCTGTGCACAGGACAGTTCAGGGAGGCCAGCAGGCAGACACAGAGACCCTGGGGCCAGGCACTGTTGCAGTGAGTCTCACTGCCATGCCCTAGCAAAGAAAGCAAAGTTGCTAAGTAGGGTGGGTGGTGACACAAACATATCACAGTGGGGCGAGGATCTTGCAGGGTTTTTCATTGCTGAGCCTTCTTTTTTTGGTCCTCCACAGTGAAGGACAGTTACTGAAAAAAGGAGACCTTTCAGGTTTAAGTCTGAAAGTCCTGTCTCACAAATCCTGTCCAGTGGTAATGCTCTGCAAGATCACACATGTTATCACTTTCCTTCGGGGGAGATTTTGTCAGGTGTCCAACTCATGGATGACAACCATCTGATTATGCCACTTCCTCCACACAAAGGCTTGGTTTGATGCACGTGTGTTAGAGCAGAGAGAAGATGCTGTGGGGTGGTGCCCCAGTGACCCAGCTGATGCAATGAGCCAGCTGCCAACTCCTCTGTGTTTTATAGGAGGTGATTTCAAGGGAGCTTGTATCCTCAGCTGAGAAGGTAAAGCTGAAACCGTTCCCTTGGCACAGAAAAGCATCACAGCAGCTGTCTACCAGGAGATAAACAGTTTGGGGGAGAGCAGCTACTCCAACGCACGTGGACTTCATCAGACAGTCTGGGCTGTCCCTATTGTTTGTGAGCACTGGGTGAGAACAAAGACAGATTGGGCTAGAAAGGGCCCCATGCAGAGACATTCAGAGCCTGTACAGAACAGGACACTTTAATGTCTGCACTGGATTGCTGGGGGTTTTTATATAATCAGAGGAATCTACTAACTTGGGAATATATAAATGTACACACACCTGAGGCCCAGATGAATTCCCATAACTGTTTCATTTTTGGTTGCATTCACCAAGAGATGAAAGTGGTTTGTTACAATTGTCACAT